CTAGTACTCTAGTACTAGTACTAGTCCAGTACTAGACTAGACTAGTATAGTACTAATACAGAGTTAGTACTAGACTAATACTAGACTAATCTAAACCCTACCACCAGCCCACCCCTGCTTAATTGCAGGACCGAGGCATGAAGCCACGGCCGAAACGCTAAGATGTGGCGGCTAATATTAGCCTGCCGAGGAAATCCGGGAGAAGACTGTAGAAGGCAGCTGGAAGCTTGGAACGAACGCGTTTTCCTTCGCTTGACTTTGTGCGGCCCTACGTCATCGGAACCGATGCCCAAAAACACCAAAAAGATCTATCATCACCCCCTCCCAAAAAAGGGCAGTTTTGCCCAGCCTGTCGCCCCCGGCGAGACTCGAACTCGCAACATTCAGATTCCCAGATTTTCTAAAAGTCTGACGCGCTAAACCAATTGCGCCACGCGGGCTTTTGCTTGGGAGTTTGATGTTTGACTATTTTCTTGCAACATTGGGTGGATCTCGGTCATCAGAGCACCACGGAGGTCTTGTTTGTTGTCTTGTTTGAGGCTCTCGTCATCCTTGGGGCACCAAAGCTGAACGAAGCCGCCCACTGATGAATACGAGGGTGGATTACCTATGCGCAAGTTGGTTGGGGAGGTGGGAAGTGGGGGGTTCGCAATGCGGAGCGCAAGCCCGTGGCAATGAAGGTCATAAGAACAGGTTCGAAACATTTAAGCGGCATCATCCATGCACCAACAGATTTGGCCGGCAGAACCGACGTTTGAGCACACGCCTCCAAGTGACCGAAAATGGGGAGGATGTACAAAGCGGCATAGTCGCGGACCCGGAGGACTGACAGGGTCCGGGTATGTTGACGACACGCATACGGCAGCATGAGGAATGCGAGCGCACTCGCGACGAAGGAACCGAGCATGCCAATCTCAATAGAATGCACCAAGGCGACTGGTGAGGCCCGGGGCTACGCAGTCCCTCACCGTTTGCCTTGCACCACCCGGTCACGGCGGTCTGGTCTTACCCATCCGCGGCCTCGGACACTGACGTCAGTGAGTCAGGGACGTCAGACGTCCTCTCTCCATGAACCATCCCCGAACGCTGACACGCAGTGGCAAAGAGGGCTGATCCCGCGGACTCGGAGTTGATGCTTCGTCCCATCTTTTTGAGAATGGGCAGGCACCAGGTCGGTTAGTTGTTCTCTTGGCATTTTGGTGTTCCTCGAAGACTACCTATTTACACATTCAACTGGGAAGCTGTATTCCGTAAGTAAGCCACCACCATGGGGAAAAGCGTCAAAGTCTCCTCCGCCGCCTCGCGAATAAAATAAACAAAAGCACGCCCTCCGGTAAACGCCTGTAATGCAGTTGTAACACAATGCTTCCCATCCAAAACACCGCCCGCCGAGCTTGCTCGCGCCGGTAATCCCGTTGCCCCGGCCGTGTGATGGAAGAGTTCGTCCCTGGGTAGTTTTTTTCTGCTCTCGGAAAACCTTCGAATAGAGTGCCGCGCAATGGTGGTATAAACGTATTTCCGTCGGTATCAAAATAAACTCGCGCACAATGCCCCAACTCCTGTAGTCCCAGTGCAATCATACCAAAGTCAAAAAAGGTGTGCCGGCGCCGGGCGTTGAGAAGAGCCCTACGTGGGCAGCGCAGAAAGGCCCCGTGTCATTCAATGCTGATGGCCCGAACCAAAAGTCCAGCCAAAGGCGAGCAGTGAGTCATAGTGATTGACGGGCTCGCTCCAGCAGTTGCCTTTCCAGGTGCGGTCGGTCGGAACTCGTCAAGATTTGTAACCGTCCGTCGTATCGCCCGTATTTTGGACCGTTCAACCTCACTTCATGGCGCGACTCTGGTGTCTCGCAGCCCCCCCGGTCCAGCGATCCTCTGCCACCGATCGAACCCCTTTATCGGGCCCGCCCTTCCAGCAAACCCGGGCGGCGCCCAGCTGTTCACTTCTTGTTCCGGCTGCCGGACGACGTAATCTTGCTTGTCGACATTAGGTCTCCGATGTACTTTTGTAGAAACTTGTTGTTGTTGTCGAGTTTGTCGTGTTCCTCCTTGACCGCCTCAATCCGGTTGAACAGGGTGACCAGGGAATCCTGCAGTGCTTTGGCATGCCTTGGCGCAACTGTCAGCCAGGGCTGTTGTATTCAGGGCGAGAGGGATTCTCACCTTTGCAGTTCTTCTCGCGCCTCCTGGCCGAGCGTTTGGATATCCTCGCTTGTTCTTCTCGGGCTCATGGCCCCCACGTCGCCCGGCCCGACATGCAGTTCAATCACAGCCGACGAGTCGCGAGGAACAATCATGGTGCCACTGCTCTTGCGACTCGGTAACTTTGGCCGCACGGGTTGTGGCGTGTGGGTGGGGTGATCGAGACCCGACCCCGACGATGAGTCCGACCAGTCAGGGCTTGCTGCTTTTTGTAAACTGGCGTCTCCCATAATGGATTGTGTGGCCGGCGCGGCGAGAAGGTCCGTCGTTTAGGGTTGTGAACGGGCACGCAAAAGGTTCGAGTAATAAAGAGCAAGCGACGACCTGAATATCATGGGCGAAAATATATGGCTCCTCCAGAACGATGTCAACCCAACGAGGCTGCTGTCGCCACCTTCCGACTAGTCCAGGTGGCGGGAGGGTCGAGGGTGTTCGTTCGAGGAGTTTTGAGTTATCGGGTCGTGAACGGGGAGGGTTGAGAGTTCGGGCGGTTCTGAAATGGAGGAGGGAGTCAGGGACTCAGGGTGCATTGCAAAGCTGAGAGCGGAACCTTCTGAGGGGTAGCGCAAAAGCCACCTCAGTCGGCGGGTGGGCGGGGCCCTGGGCCAGGGTCCCGGGTCCCTACTCGTGGAGTCGTGGGGCCGACTGGGACCGCCGCCAGCAAACTCGACGGACGTCAGTCACCCAATAGGCAAAAACGGCCAAAAACTGGGGAGGCAACCTCGGACAACAGGCGCTGGCCACTCAAGGCGGACACAGGTGACCGAAAGGGGCCAGGATTGGGGCGCGGGACAGACCGGTCCAACGTGATTGGGTGCTTCTTAGCGACCGGGCTCTGGTTGGAAAACCTGGTGGACTCCCTTCCCTCCTTGAAGGCAGAGGGCGAGGGTGCGAGGGAAGTGACGGCAGCGGCGGGGTGGGGTCGTTGGGCAGTTCAACGGGGGCTGGTCAGGAGGTTCTGTGTCCTGTTTCCACTGCCGCGATCAGCAAACCGTGCCTTGGTGCGCTGGGCGGCGAGTGGCTGCGAGGGCGCTCCGCGGTGTGGTCACAGGGGCGGAGAACTGGGATTCTGTTTTGGGATGTTCTGTCTGTGGAAAGCAAAATGTCGATCGGTCCAAGTAACGGCGCCGGGCACGACGGTGGGTTGGGGTTCTGCCTCGCGCAGTCGGGAATTCCTTGACTGCCCTGTCTTTTCGAGGGCAAGGAAGCAAAAGAAGGTTTTCTGAAACATTGAGAGCGATGAAGCGTGGCGGAATTGCAGCGGCCACCAGGGTTCAAGTTGTCGGGCCACGTTGGGTTTGGCGTTCACGATACCGCTATGCCGGAAGGCGTAATTTCCAGATTGATGCTCTCTGTCCCTTTTGCGCGCCATGGTAATTTCGGCCTCAGGCATGACAAGCCCCTGCCGCCAACAAGGGTCCGGCAAGCCCAGGGTATAACCGGACGCAACCACAGCGCCCCGTGATCGGCAACAATGACGAAATACGCTACGCTGATTGGAGTACTACGGCGGGTCGCTCAAGGACCCCCAAAAATGGCAGGAAGGGGTCGCGTCGCCGTGCCCCCGTTAATGATGAAGTGGCTGCAGAATGCGATTTGTTTGACCGGGAAACTGGGGATCTTGTTCATCCGGCATGTCGCCGTCCCGGACTCTGCCTGCAGCCGGTGCAGCAGCACATGGGCGTCTCCCGCGGCATTTGACCGCGGCGTGCAACTGGACCCGGGTACGGGCTTCTGGGTGTCTACACCTTCTCAGGACGCTCGATTTCGTCGCTGATCGGATGTAGCAAGCCATCATTTCAGGAAACAGCAGAGAAGCAGCGCTTCGAGTGAGTAGCGACGGTCAGGGAAGCCGTGCGGCTTGGTTGGGCGACGGAAACCGCACGGCAGCGTGGTTGCAGCCCTGGTTTTCCCTGTTTTGGCAAGCGTCAATCCCATTTGCTCGACCCCGCCCGCCAACCCTGACGAATGAGAAGAACGCCGGGGAGTTGCTGGACCCTGAAAAACGAGTCGCACTGTGTCCTCCCCCCAAAAGTTGAGACACGCATGAGACAATCCAGCGGACTGGCTCGACTGGGCAGCGAGGAGAGGCTATTCGCGGAAACCGCCGTTTGGATCGAAAGGACGCTGGCGACGCTGGCGACGCCATGCCCACCGTGGACTCGCGGCGACAGCGATGGTGTGACCGATAACTCGTACAAGTGTCTCCTCGTGTCACCGTCGCGCTTTTCTTCTTCTCGTCACTCCCAGACTAAAACCCCAACCAGACAGAGGCTTCGATTCGATATTGCTGCCCCAAGCCAATCCCGGTTGGCTTGCCGGTGCCGGTTCCGGTTCCGCACCCAAACCGGCGACCTTCTCGCACCAACCCTCAGTGAGTTTGCTTCATGGTGGCCGGGGACCCGCCAGTGAGGAATGAAGCTCACCGCTAAAAACTCACGATTCAGGCATATCTCGGAGGGGCTGGGACAGAAGGGCATGCTGGCGTGCTGTCGCCGTCACCGCCTTTGGCTCGACAGATTCTTGCTTGTTACTGTGTACATACCTAGGCACCCCATCTCCCATGAGGTCGCACTGTGCCGACAAGTAAGGTAACTCCACGGCCGACATACCCGGCCCAATCTCTGCCGACAGCCATGAGCGAATCACCGGTTCCACCGTGTCACCTGCCGCCGACCCCTTTCTCCGCCGCACGAAAAGTTCGACTCATCCAGCGCAAAAGCCCCGAAATTCGAACATTGTCAGTCCGGCGGTAGTCTGGCACCACGAGGTCCCATCCGCTGACTGGCACGTCGACCGGCCGGGCGTGAGTAATATTGAAATCTCCGCGAGTCAAGCTCAGTCTTTTGCCTCATCTTGTCTTCTTTGGGCCATCCCAAGGCAGCCACGCGAAACCGTAAGCCCACGTGGAGTCCTCTTGCGGGCACGGGACATCGTTGTCAAAGACAGCTCGGGACTCGGCACAGGCGGCTGTGCCAAGACTAATCACTCGCTCACGACTGAGCTGAGCCACATGTAACTATAGTTAACACATCAACCGTGTGTGTCCTGGCGCCTGGCAAACAGGGCAAACAAGACGGGCTCTGGGGTGAATGCTGGTCCTAACTTGGCTGCGAAGGTTCCGTTGGAGCACCTTTTCCCCCTGCATCAGCGCAATCTCAACCCATAGTGCTCATCTTCATTTGCTTGTGTGGGCGGTTGTCCAAACCCTCAGGCAGGGCTGAACGGCCAGCGTTCTT